GAATCTGGGTTGCTGCATTACATTACCAAGGAGACACTGTGAGAACTGATAACCCACACCCCATAACTGAATGTTACTAACATTCCTTGTACGTCATGTATCAGACAAAAAAAATGTAGCTTAAAATTATGTTTCTCACCTAATCTTACTCTCATTCTCACACAAACATACAGATACCCACACATCCTGAGTAGCTCTCAGGGTGATATTAAAATTACTACTCTAAACCACCCTCAGAGGTGACCTAAAGTGGCCCCCTCTGTGTATGGCACCTCACAAGAGAAGCTATTTCAGTACCAAGATGAGAGGCAATAAAACAAATTAGCAACCATTGGCATTTTTTTTGGATGAAGGAAATGTTTCATGCAGGAGCTGGGATCCTCCCTACCCAGCTGCCCTGAGTCTCTGACTAACACAAGTGAAATACGTAATTTATTCACTGTTTTCTTTTTTTTAAGGAATTGCATAATTTGGAATAAAGAAGTGGTCTCGTTGGAGTCAAGGTAAATGATTTCAACAGAACCAGGATATTCCCTCCAAAGGGAAGAAATTATCTGCTCATGTAAAGGGACACTTACCATATCTGGAAGTCTCATTGTTTGGCAAGTTAGCTCGAAGAATGAAGTTGTTCAAGCTATTGAGATAGGCTGGAAGGCTGTGATAACCCTCAGGATTATACCACACCTGCACACAATTGAGAAATTGAAACCATTTGAGAGAGGAATTGTTACTGATAACATTTTGATTTGTTCTGCTTGAACAAACGAATCATTCTATTGTTGTTATCTGAAGTCATAAGCTCTACATGTAAAAGTCCAATGATTAAAACCACATCAAGTACCAAAATTAGTATAAAAGCACATTTCACTTTCAGCACAAGCAACTCCATCAGCTTCATTTGCCTTCTGGGAGAGAAGAAAGCAGCACTAGCTGGATATGTAGCAAAAAGCACTTGGATTTTGCTCTCTAATAGTTGCTCAGGTCCAGTGGAACATCAGCAGTGGAGACTTCCCAAAGAAGGCTAAGCAGTCAAATGTCTAATAAACCTTGAAAGACATGGGGGGAAAAGGCTGCTCTAGAAATGAGCCAACCATCACTTTCTAATTCAGCATCCTAATTCCCTCCTCATGATAACTTTCCTTACCTATACCATGGTAAACCCTGAGAACACAGGGGGAAAATTACACTACAGGACATACACTTTGTGGGGATTTACCATCACCTACTTTAGGCACAGCCCAAAGCACCCAAGTTGGAGGTGTAAATTACCTACCAAAGGATGGAGAGCTTAGGCTGTTAAGGTTAGAGGCTTAAACGCAGCCCAGAGCATCCACCTTTGCATACCCTCAAGTCCTGCATACTCAGTGATTTCACTCAAGGACTGGAGTCTGCCCTGCTCCCAGTACTATCCAGGCTTCCAGGTGTTAAATCTGACACATGACAAGCAAATATCCAGTGCTTTCAGATCTGAGATGAAGCTATGAGGTGAAAATATCTGCAAATTCATTACATGAGCTCTGAGGGTTAGTGAAACAAAGCCTGTGCTTCCCTTTTCTTGGAGCCCACTCTGACAACAGCACTGCTTTTGCA